CGGATCCCGCGAAACCGTTCCCTGCTGCTGGCTAGGTTCCTTGCTCCCCGCTCTCCCGGTGCGGGCTCCTGCTCTGCCCGAGGCTGGCGCGGTGCCAGGCGCACCTCCCGGGCTCTGCCCGCATGGCCGGGCATCCCATCCCCTCCTGCGCGGTGGCTACTAGAGCACCGGCCGGGCACTGCCCCGGGAGCCAGAGCCGGAGCGGGGCCCTGCTGCGGGCGATGGGCTATGGGGGAGGAGGGCCCGCGTGTCCCGAAGGCGGAACTCAGGGTTCTGGGCTGCGACCTGCTCAGCCGGGGCTAGTGTCCCGGGAAGCCCCTACAACGTCCTGGCCGGCTTCGGGGACCCCCAGGGATCCCCGGCCCGGGGCTGGGCTGTGCTAGCTGCCCCGGAGGCTGAGCCAGGGTGGCCCGGGCCAGCGCTGGGGAATGGTCACGGCAGGAAACTGAGTCAGCCAGGAAGGCCAGTCTGCGGGAACAGGAAAGAGTTGGGATGCCGGCGGGAAGGGGGAGCTGTGCTGTAGGTCGGCACGGGGGCTGCCCCCGGCCGAGCCTCCTGCTGTGCCACCCTCAGCCAGCTCTGGGTGACGACAAGTAGACCTACCCGTGGCTCGTGGACTCAGGAGCCCACTGCTCCTCGTGGGATGATGTTGGGGTCGACAGATCACCCCTCCGGAGGTGCGGGGTTGGGTGGTTTGGGTTTCTCCCCATCCTGCCAATGCTACAGCTCTGCCATGTCCCAGCTGGGGTCTCCGGGGTGAAATGGAGCCCCAGGAGTGGTAATGGGTGCCGGGTCTCTGGCCAGTCTAGGGAGGTGCAGCAAGCACTGCTTCTCTGAGGGCTTTTTCTTTGACCCACTGGGCCTTTGCCTTCTGAGACTACCCTGCTCCTGACCCAGGTCTCCCTGTGCTGTGCGGCACAGTCTGGGGAAAGCCTGCTCTGGGCTGACATGAGGCAGGGAAGGAATTTTTTTTTCTGATTATGTTTTTGGCTCCACTCAGCTGGAAGAGGATTAGTCCATATAAGGGAAAACTGCCTTTCCCACCGCTTTCTCCCTGCTCCTCTGCTCTCACAAGCCCTCCACTCTGCCTTGCTTTCCTCCTTTCTCCCAGCAAGTGACACCTTGGCAGCAGCATCTGATGTCGCCAGGGATACTGAAAGAAGGAGGATAGAGGACATGAGCCCCCTGCAGCCCCCTCACCCTTGTGCTGGCTGGGCTGGGAGCTGCTGGGGACCATTTGCCTCCCAACTCTTGCCGTAGGCATCCACATGGGTCCATCTCCAGCTGCCCACTTGTACCCCACACCCAGAGAAGCCAGTTGGGATCAACCCGTGGGGCAACATAAAAGTGACTAAGGGCTTGGAGGAGCCTGGGGAGGGAGCTGTGGAGGATGGGGTGTGTGCTGCTGCAGGGTGGCCCTTAGGTGGATGTCTGGAAGCAGGGGGTTGTTTGAGCGCTCGGGGCTGTGCTGACCTCCAGGCTGTGGGCTGCTGACCTTGGGCTGGGGAATACTCCCCTCTCCCAGCCCCTCCAAATCTCAGTCTGGTTAGTTAGTGAGGATGCAAAGCCCCTTGGGGGCAGAAGCAGGGCAGGCTTGAGCTATGAAGGTCACTGCCATGAGGTCCCCTTCTTACACCCAGCAGCCTCTGGCAAAGGCTTCAGTGACCCTGAGGAGCACTGCATCCCTGCCACGTCTGTTACCCAGTGTCCTTTCTCCTTTCCTCTGCCCAGAGGCAGCCACGCTCCCCATGGCTCCTTCCAAGGGTGACAGTGAACCTTGGGGCTGCAGAAGGTGCTCAATGTGGCCAGCTACTGTCCCTAGAGAGGTTTCCCTGTGGCCAGGCTTCAGTTTCCCAAGTGCTGTGTGCTCAGGCACTCCAGAGAGCAGGGATAATGGCAGCCCTCCTGGAAGAGATGCCTGCTGTGCCAGGGCTCTGAGTGCCACTGTTTTGGGTGCCAGTGGGGAAGCAGCCCATGGGTGCCATGCCAGTGCCCTTTCAAAAGCCGCTCTGTGTGCTGAGTTGGGTGTTTGCTCAGAATCATTAATTTGCTGGTGGCTGGGCAGGGCCTGTGGGGCCCTGGCATGTGCCGATCCCTGAGCTTGCCTGTGCTGGCAGGACTGGGCCCCTTGGTCCCTTCCCAGCCTTGTGGTTTCTGGCATGCTTTCCCCTGCCACGGAGCTACCAAAGCTACTCATTTGCCTCATCCCAGCTCCCTGCTGACATGGCACAAGGCATTTTCTCCTGCCCTGCTGCCATTTGTCCCATGGACAGAAGCTTTTCGAGACCAGGGTGCACGTCAAGTCCCAGCTGGAGCCTCCTGGACAGAGCAGATCCCAGAGCTGGCAGATGGGTGTCTCACAGCACACATGGGTGCCAGTGTGTTCCCTGCACCAGGGTGTGCAGGGCTGGTATTCCATTGTGTCCCCCTCTTCCTGGCACTCTGCGCTTCTGCAGCTGCTGTGCACACCCCCCTTCTTCCCCCACCCCCACCACCTCCCCTATTGCCCTGACCCAGCTGTGGGGCCAAGCCACTCACTGCCAGCAGCTTATTTAGGGAAGGGCCAGGGCATTGGTCACGCAGTGTGCGGTTGAGGACTGTTTTCCTGTCCTCAAAGCCTTTGGATGACTGGAGGGAGAGCCGTCCTTGCCTCATCCTTGCCCTGGAGCTCTGCCTCCAGTGCCTTGTTTGGAACTGGACATGGTTCCACCACTTCCTAGCCCATCGATGCTGCCCCATGTGAGGAGAGCTGAGCTTCCCGGCTGGTCAGGGTGGCCACCATTGCTGTTGGACAAGCTGGGGAGAGGCTGTGTCTCAGTGCCTTTGTCCTGGCAGTAGTGTGCCTGCTGCAGCAGCATCCCCGGGGGGGGGCCGGCAGCCATCCAGGATAGATGGGAAATGAGAGACCCGTGAGGATGGAGGGGCTGGTTTCCTCTCCAACAACCCCCTGCCCTGGTGGCACAGTGGCTCCTGTTCTTCCCAGCCCTTGTGCTGGTGGAGATGCCTGTTCTGGACAAGAGCCCAGGGGGCTGTAGGCTCCAGCTGGAAGGGATGGCACTGCCAGCTGGCATGGCGAGGGCTGCTGGAGTGGGAGGGAGGGAGCAACCTTGGTCCAGGCAGCTCCCCCAGAGATTATATGTGTTTTCAGCATTGGTCTGCCCTGGGAGTTGATGGTTCCAGCCACCGGCATCTTACCAGCTGGGAAAGGATAATGCTCCCAGTTGGGCCTTGATGGGTTGCAGTACTACAGTTTTAGCTGCTGCTGGGGTGGCACATGGCATCTCTGTGCCTGTTCTGTGCCTGCTGGCTTCATTAGGATAAGAATACCCTCCCTGATCCCCAGCCTCTGAGCAGGGAGGGCAAAGTCCCATGGCTTCTCAGGGGCTCTGCAGGGGGGGTCTGTGTACAGGCGGTGGTTTGGGGCCCTCCGTGTGGCTCAGCTTGGGTCCAACTGAGGGACCAACCCTGGATCCCTGCTGCAGCAGAACCTGAAGAGCCCGGATGGGTGGCCTGCTAGTGGCCTGTGGGACAGGAAGGGAGGGGACTGACGCTCTTGTCCTGTGGCATAGCCGTGGCTGCTCCCAGAGTGCTGAGGCTTGATGCTGACAGCAGCTGCTATGGGTTATGGGGTTTATTTTTCATGAGTTCCATGGGAAATCACCTCCCAGGTTCCCAGCATCGGGTCAGTGGGAGGATAGCAAGGCCTGGTTGGCTTTTCCCTGCAGATCTGGCTGCCTTCTGCCCCTTCAGCATCATGATGGGGGCTATGCACGGCCTCCTGAAAGCACTGGGGCTGGTAGCAGGGCTGGACTGAAAGAGGAAAAACAACACTGGGTGCCAGGTCCTGCCCTTGGGTGGGCTAAGGAGCACCCAGAGCACCTGTGAGATGTTCATCGGGGGCATCTGAAGGGGAGTTGTGGCCCTGCTTCCCACACATAGAGGACTGGACTTTGATTTAGGACAGATCCCACTTATGAGTTTGGCTCCAAGAGCCACCTGCCATCCTCTAGCACTGAATGAGGATGGGGAGGACTGCAGGGAGTTAGGAGGAGCCCTTGATGGAGTGCTGGGACCCTCCCAACCAACACCTCCTGGGGACCATGGGGATGGGAAGAAAACAGGCTCTGCTGTCCCTCAGCTGCTGAAGGGGCTGGCATGAATGGGAGAGCTCATTCCAGAGCTGATGGCACTGAGAGGGGGCAGAGCTGCACCAACCCTTGGACACCAACCCTTGGGGGCTGCAGGAACCACTGGTGGGTGTTCATTTCACTTGCCCATCTCTTTGCCCCTCACATGCTGGAGGTCTCAGTGCCACCCTGGCAGCCCCTCCTTGCCACGGCTGATCCCAGCATCCTGCCCTGGGGGGGCCATGCCCGCTCCCCACAGGGCCTGGCAGTGTTGGGCAGCATGCACTGGGCACGTGGGCACCACAGACAGACAGCTCCTTTGTCTGGAGCGTGGGCAACCCATGGCAGCACGGCAGAGGGTGGCACCAGGGCTGAGAAAGGGGCTCAGTGGTCAGAGCCGGTGCTGAGCCCTGCCCTGTGCATGCAGCTCGAGGCCACGCTGGACCTGGCTGAGCGGCGCCGCATCCGTTCGGCCATCCGGGAGCTGCAGCGGCAGGAGCTGGAGCGGGACGAGGAGGCGCTGGCATCCAAGCGCTTCCGCCCAGAGCGCGGCAGCCACAGACAGGACGACAAGGAGAACTGGCCACGGTGAGTCCAGTGGGGAGCCGGGGTCACCCACTGCCTCTGCCCTGGGAGATGGGGGCTGCGGTGCCTGGCCTCACTGTGGCTGGCACGGATTTGGGTGAGCTTGAAGGTGGGAGCAGCCTGGCTCCGAGCAGCTTGGCACATGTTGGGGCCCATTGCCTGGATCTGCCAGCTGCCCACGAGGGGACTTTGCTCCCAAGTGCCCACACCAGCTTCTGTCTGGCTGCTGCTCTTGCCCTGCTCAGGTCTCAGCACCTGGAGGAGGAGCAGCAGGCAGCCCTGGCCGCCTTGTCCCAGGAGCTCGAAACAATCACCAGCGTGGAGGAGCTGACAAAACTGGTGAGTGACCATGTGCTGGGGCAGACTGCATGCCAGGATGGACCCTGTGCTGGGGCTGACCCTGCCTTTCTCACGGGTCCTTCCCTCTTGCAGCTGCGGGCAGCAGGTGAGTATGAGGAGCGCAAGGTGATCCGAGCTGCCATCCGTAAGCTGCGGGCTGAGGAGATCGAAGGTGAAGCACTATTCCCATGTTCTGGGGTGGCTACTTTGGAGAGCCTGGGATGTGGGCAGCTCCTTCCTGAACAGTACCTTTGCTCCCATCCAGCCGCGACACTGGCTGGGAATGTGCAGAGCAGCCGGAGGGATGGCAACGAGCCCTGTACTGTGCCTGGGGATGCGAAAAGTATCCAGAGGGACAATGCTGAAACACCAGCCCTTACTGGGAGTGGGGAAAGCCTTGGTGAGGGCAGCACCAAGCCCCTGGGCACAGCCAGGAGAGGGGAGAGCAGCCGTCAGGACGATGCAGAACTGCCGACACTGGCTAAGCTAGAGGAGAGTGGGCACAGGGGGGCTGCTGAGCAGCCCCCTGCCCAGGAGCCCGAAGTTTTGGCGGTGAGTGTGTACGGTGCTATGGGGGACAGGACCTTGCTGAAGACCTTGCACTTCCCTGGGGCTCCTGTGTGTCCGGAGCACAGAGCCCCAGGGAAGCTGTGCTTGCCCGCCCAAGGAAACTGTGGCAGGTGGGCCTGGGGTCTCAGGGGAGAGGGAGGACATGGCTGAGCTATGCCAGCATGACTCCAGCGGTGGTGAGCTGGAGCTGGGGCCTCAGGCCTGGGTGCCCCTTGGCTTCTGCCAAGGATGCAACCTGGCAGGGTTCTGGGGGCCCCTTGGTGCACTTGGTACACCCCTCCCTGCTCTGGCTCTTGGGGACAAGGCTCTTTGGAGGCAACAGCCTCTCTTGTGGCAGCTGCCTGCAGCAGTCTCCCTGCACAGCTAGAAACATTGCGCTCCCATCCTGTGATGACTGTTCCTGCCATCCATCGAGGGGCCAGGGCTCATTCTGCAGTGAAGTTGGGGCCTTTCTGGATGGGGAAAGGATGAGCTGGTAGGCAGGGCTGGAGGGAATGGGCACAGGCAGTGGTTTTCAGTGCAGCAGAGGTGACTCCCGCAGGGACTGCGTGGTGGTAGGAGATCCCTGCACCCAACCTTGTGAGGTTGCCCTTTGAGGGCAAGGGTGGGAGGGAAGAAGCAGTGGGTATAACTGCAGCCAGGGAGGAAGGCATGAGTTCCCCCATCTGCCTCCATCTAACCCTGCTTCCCCCTCCACCTGCCCCAGAGCCATAGCAGGAGGCTGCAGAGGGTATGTGGCCCTGTACCACCTTTCAGCACTGTCTGCCTCCCCATCTGGATGTGCTGGCACACTACCCCCAGTCCTGGCTGTGCTGGGACATCTCTGAACAGCTGGCAGGGCTGTCTCACTCTGTCCAGCTGATAACTCCAAATCCAAGGCCATTTCCATCCCTGGGCTTGGGACCTGGTTCCCCTGAGGGTATGGTCCTACCCCCCTACCCTGGAGTCATGGCAAGGGAAGCCCACAGTGCTGCTAGAGGCACTGGCACGGCCAGGACTGGCACCCTGTTCCCTGGCTGACACCAGGACACCCTGGCCCTGCTCACATGTGTTTCAGGGACACACCTGTCACCTGTGTGTGGACCTATGCCCAGAACATCCCATCATTTGCCAAGCAGAGCTGCAGGTGCCATGGGCAGAGACAGGGTAATGTGAAACTGGGTGCTCCCTGGATCATGAGGCCCTGGAGTGCCTGGGCTGAGGGCATGGGGCAGGAGCTGTCTTCTCCCACCTGCTGGCATCCACAGTGATAAGGCTGGTGTGCTTGGGGCAGCTGCCACAGAGGGACCCAGGTGCCAGCTCGTTGCTCTGTGCCCTGGTGCTGATCAACCTCCAGAGGAATACCAGGAGCCTCAAAGGTGCGCAGGGTTTGGGGCCCTGCTTCAGTAGAGACAGTGTCCCTGCCCACTGGAGGCAGCAGCATGTGGGGACACTTATGGTTCCCCTGCCAGCCTCCTGCACTGACCCCTGTGCAGGGACTGGCTTGTCCATCCCCAGCAACATGCAGGCAGGGACCTGGATGGCATGGGAAGAGGCCACAGCTTGCATGTTCCTGGCTGAGTGGCAGGGATGGGACACAGTCAGGGACTGGAGCGGGGCTGGTTCTGCTCTCACCTCCTGCTCTCCCCAGGACCATGAGCGAGAGGACATGGTGGAGCAGGAGCATGTCCCAGCCAGGATGCAGGAGCTGTGCAGCCAGCAGGCGGGAGACCCCCAGAAACCCAGTGTCCAGGGTGAGTCCCCAAAGATGCCCGTGGCAAAGCCCTGTCTGGGTGCATGCCCGAGGCCAGAGCTGTGCCTAGCCAGCTACAGAACAGTGGAGGGCACATCTCCCAAATGGTGGGCAGGGGAGCCAGGTGCCTGGAGGGACTGCAGGAGCAGGGATGCACTGCAGGCAGCTTCAGGCTTCTCCGAGCAGAGCCTCTTTTTTTACTCACAGAAGTGGTGTCGGGGACCCTTGTGCTTCTGGAGCTGCAGCCGGCCCCAGAGCCCAATCCGGAGCCTGAGGATGGTGTTCAGGAGCTGGAGCAGGGCCAGCCCCAGAGGCAGCAACAGGCAGCCTGGAAGGCAGGGAGCCTGGACAGCCCAGCCAGTGCTGCAGAGCCCAGCAGGAGGCAAAGCCCTAGAGGGGAGCAGCCACCCTTGGGCCAGCCTGGTGCTGTCAGCCAGGTACAGAAATGGTAGCAGCTGCCACTGTCCTCCTTGCCCAGGGCTGCTGGTCTGTGTGCAAAGGCAGCTTAATAGGGGGACTGCATGCAACCCTCAGCTGAGTGCTCTGCCCCTCTCCTCCCACAGCTCCATGTTGGGGTGCGCTGCCAGGCACTGGGGCCAGATGGGAGACAGGGGAGGCCACCAGTGGGTAAGTGCAGCCTTTGAGAGGGATGGGGAGGAGACATGAGGGCTGTGGCCCCCTGCCAGGGGGGCAGTGCTGCCCCAGAGCCCCCCACCCCCTGCTCCCCTGCCCTGCAGCATGCACATCCCAGGCAGCCCTGGCGATGTGACTCCAGCCCACACATGCTGGAGCAGGAATGTGAGTGCAGGACATGGCCAGGCCAAGGGCCACCCCTAGGCTGATTCTGCCCAGCCAAGTGGTGGTAGTGCCCACTCTGGCCAGGGAGCTGGGTTCCAGGCGTGCTGTTTACCAGGCCCCCTCTCTGGCAAGGTGGCCACAGGGCCATGAAAGGGAATCGGTTCAGCAGCAAACCCCGGCCTTTTGCATTCCTTGTCCCAATAAGGCTGAGAGCAATGCGTGGCTGGCTCTGACCACCCCCTCCCTCACCCGGGCACAGCACCCTCCGGGGCCTCCCCGCAGCCCTGGGGGATTCCAGTGGCCAGCAGCTGCCCTCTTCCTACTGCTGGGAAAACCATCCCCATGGCTGTGCCAGGAGGAAACAGAAAACCCAAAAAGCAGTTCTCTGCTCCCAGGGTCAGGGTTTCCTCTTGGAGCTGCCCTTGCAGGCAGAGATCCCCTCCCTCTGAGGCTCCCCTGGAGACTGCTGGCTCCTGGGAAGGCAGAAACCCTGGGAAGATGCTGGGCTCCAACATGGCACAGCCCAGGGTGCAGGGAAGTGTGCAGGACCTGCCCCCCCTTGCATCACAGGGGACTCAAACCTGGGTTCTGAGGAGAGGCTGAGCTTACCTCCCACCCCCAGTTCCATGGGCATCACTGACTCCAGCCCCAGAGCAGAACCCTGCCTGCACCCTCGAAGGCTGAGCCACCCAGCTCCCTCACCCTCCCCTCCAGAGACAATGCTAGGGCCTGGCAGGGATAGGGGTCATCCCGACCTTTTGGCACAGACCCCAGGTACCCCCCACTGCCTTGCTGGGCACAGATCCTGCCATCCTCTGCGGTGTAGTTTGGCGCTACAGGGCAGAGCCCATGCCTGGTGTGTGGGGCAACCTACAGGTGCTGGCAGATTTTGGCACTATGCACTGGGGAGTATGGCGTGAAGGGAAGGGGGACTCCAGGGTGCTGTACTGTGGGGGTGGCAGCAGCACCCTGTGCTGTGCTCACTTTCTGCTCTCTTTGTCCTGTTCCTTGCCTATCTGTGCTGTCTCTTCCCAAGCGCCAATGTCCACCCAGGATCTAGTAGGGACCCCAGCTCGCCTGAACACTCACCAGTGGGAGCAGGTGCCCTCCTCCTTGTGCCCAGCTGGCCCCACGGGTAAGATCTCAGTGGTGCCTGCCTCTGTTCTCTGCTTCCTGCTGGTAGGAGATTCCTGGCGGAGCCTTGGCAGACATGGAACTCCAAAGTACCGGGACGCTGCAGGATGCTGCTGGCCACCCACTTGCTCTTTTGCTCCCTGCCCAGTATCCCTCCTTCCCTCCCTCCCATCCATGTTCGAAAGCACCTGGCCCTGGCAGGAGTGGGGATAGGGGGCAGAGACTTTGAGGGGCTGCAGCCATCTCGGGGGGTGATGCATGTGTAGTGGGGTCTCTTTGGGGCAGTAATGCATCTTGTGGGCACTGTGGAGAGCTGCATGCATGGTCAGACACCCCAGGGGCGTTGTGCATCGCGTGGGCAAGCTGGGGGGCTGCATGCACGCTGTGGCAACCTGGGGTGGGGGCAGCATGCTTCTTGTCGGCATGCCGGGGGCTGCATGCACGGTGTGACACCCTGGGGTGGGGGCAGCATGCTTCTTGTCGGCA